CCCCCCCCCTCATTTTTAATGAGCACTTGCGAGGTGTTTTTGTTCATGTTTTCTGTGGTGGTGGACGAAATTGATCATTTGATCGTGTGGGACTTTTTTTTTTATTTCCATGGTCTGCAGGTAGGTGTCACAATTGCTTTGACTATAAAACGACAAAGGACGCCACCCCTTAGCCTCACGTTTTAACCCACATAACCTTTACTCCAAATCGGATCTGGTGCCACCATTTAGTCGGAATGACAGCTGCTACTGCTTTCTAAGCCCCACGCAGACTGGGACTTTTTCTTCAGCTCACGTTTGTCAGAATGTTATTGTATTATTTCCGCCGTTCTGTTTGAGGCAATTTGGACGACAATTACATATGCTGGTTTGAAACCGATCTCCCATTATATGTGATTTACATGTTATTTCTCAGGTTCCTCTAGTTTGCTTATTTGCCACGGTATATTATTTCAGTATATATTTACGTGTGAAAATAAAAACTAAAATTTGGCCTGAAACCGAGGTGTCTTGGGGACGCAAAGTGGACCGAATTGAACTGAAGTGAACTTGAGGACTTCAAAGTGGAATAGCCTACATTTGATATTTATTTTTTTAAAAGGATGGCGAAACGATGCCTATAATTTATGCAAGTTGTATTGCAAAAATGGGAAACTGACATCGTCCGTTTGTTTTGTAAATATATATACATACATACATATATATATATATATTATGGACGGTTTTTATTTGAAACGCATTTGGGAAAAAGGCGACCCAATCTTGTTATCAGGAGTACTTTTACTAATTTATATCTTTGAATGTAAATAAAATCAAAACTCGCTGGTAAAGATATACTGGTGGGGTATTATATCCATTATTCAAATGAGAAAATATTAAACTGTTTTCCCAACTATTACATTCATCTTTGGCAGTCTTTCTTTTAGTCATAACACTGTTTAACCCTGTTGCATTTTTTATTCCTTTTTTTATTCTTTCTGCTCATTATTCTTTTGTTTTGTCAGTTGCAGATGGGAGATGTTTGATGAATCTCACTTTTCATGAAGATTATGAGTTCTCACAGATTGCACAATCCATTCTTTCTAAATGGACAATCATTTTCTTTTAAAGCGTCTGGTCAGGGGATCTCCCTCGGTCACATATTCAGGACCTTGATGGGGATAAACGAGATGCTTATTTTATTTCATTTTTCTCCCAGCTCCCCTCTCCCTGCCACACATTTATTTTTCAGTGTGATTAATACAGCCGTGGGACGCATCGGGCATTATGGGCTCCCAGCGGGGCCGTCCCTGGAGCTTTTTAGCCTGGTTCAGGATGGGTCAGCACTGCCTGCTTCATTACAGCACGGCATTGAGCAATCCATAAAAGTCTATCTAAGCATCTGCCAGCTCCAATGGGCTGTGTGATGGGCCCTAATCGGACAGGCTTTTCACTGCTTTTCATCATGGCTGGATATTATATCACACAGCTAACTGAACAAATTAGAAAGAAAAAAGGTAGTCTTTAGTTATTATTATTATTATTCTAATTATTAATTTAAATATTTTTTCACCTTATTGTGATATAAGGTATGAAATACTCAAATATACAATATTGACATCCTCCAAGAAGAGGCCTCCATCATTGCTCCCAGCTAGACTAAAAGCTAATCCTTCATTTTCCAGTTGAATTTGTGCTTTGGAGCAGTCCAAATGTCATGGGACCCCCACCCCTCCCCATGCCAATGACGTAATATTTAGCTGCTACCAAGGGAGCAGTGGAGGGTAAACCTACCTTAACTCACTTAGACCACCTTTTAAGTTAACACAAGTCTTTGTAACATAAATGCATACTTTGCTCAAAGAGTAAATAGTGTTACACTCCCAGGATGGTGTAAAAGTCACCTTTGGATTATTCATGAAACCATCACTATTTTTTTTTCAGGTTCTTTGGTTCATCAGTGCTGTGAATTGAAATATTTTATCATTTACCTCTACCTCACTAACAGACTGCTGCAGTAGACGGAAGACATGAATGTTATAGCACCTGGCCAGTTTCTTCCTCAGTCAAAATGCTTTCATTAGCAGCTGATTTATTGAAATGCATACTTTATTCTCAGGTGGGCTCCCCCAGGGACGCGCACTGTTGTCAAATAGCACCGGAGGCAGTCTCGAGAGCACATAGGGGCCCTGCCTCTCACTCGCTTTTTCTTTCTGTCACCTGCTGCTGCTCCCTTCAAATGTCAACATTTGCTTGCAATAAAAAAGTGTTATTGTTTCATTCAAAAAAAAAAAAAAAAAAAAAGAGAAAGTGCTCGGCAACCAGTCACCTTTGAACACATGAAAAGAAACTTCCACCCCTCCTCTTTGTTTAACTGAGAGCAACGGCAGGTGAAAATAGGAACAAGGCGGCCATTGCACATGACAAATTTCAAGCTGTGAAACCCCTTATGAAACAATTGTGAATTTATGCCACAATTAGTCACAATTGTGCAGAGGAATTCCTGACTCTTTTGAAATAGCTCTTCTTTGGTCCACATCCATTCAGACTATTTGTGGAAGAAACTAGGGTAACCTTGACACAGCCTCGATATTGATCCTCAAGGGCAAAACAGACGGTTTGCTTAGTACCATAAAGCAATGTTTTAGTGTCGGGGAATGATTTAAACTAATCTAGATATTCTTTTAGTTCCATGCACTGCATACCAAATAAAGACATAATCCCATCAAATAGCCTACCAACAAAGATGCGATCGTTACTAAGGACTAGTCGTCATTGAAAACTACATTGATGTTATCGCAGGGCTCATAGACTTCATGCGAGCACAGACTTGAGAGCAAGTGGACTCATTCCCCTTATCGCTGATCAAATAAGTAGCTCGCATATGCAGATAATTCATGAGCTCTGTGTATCTTTTATCCTCCTATCAACACTTTCTCCTCCAAAATGGCTCAAGCGTTTATCTCTGATACACACCTGCTGAAGCTAAAGTTTCACTGTAGCCAATTACTATTTTACAGTTGTCCTTTACTGGAGGTGCAGTGTTAATTTGACATGATGTTAAGGAAGACTATTAGGCAGTTGACTGATTTGCTACAGATGCCCAGATGTTAAAAGAAAAAGTGACACTTGCATATTATTTTAGATTCAGTATGCATGTGTCTATCATGGGCAGACAGAAACAAGAATAATTAGCCTGTTTTCTTGCGTTGAGGATGTAATGCAGCTATTCTCTTG